CCCCAGGGCTTCTCTGAACCAGCTGCCCCTCCTGCCACAGCCGCAGGCCCCGAGCAGCTCCAGAGTGGGCATTTTCTGCCACTTCCAGCTTGGAGTCTGGGACGGCCCCGGGCCTCTGGCCAGCTGCCCCTGGACTCCTTTGCAACAGCTGCAGGAGTGGGAGGGGGAGGGGACTGAACCAGGCCAGAGCCCAGCAGTGGGGTCTTCACATCGCAATCGCCAGCACCCCCAAACACACCAGCACCCTGGGGTGGCTTGGGGTGCTCTAGAAGGCCTTGTTGCCAACGTCTTCTCAGCCGGAGGAGGCGGGGCGGGTGTGTGCTCAGCGGGCATGCCTCGCTTGTCCCTCAACAGCCGTCTGCCATGACTCCCATTGTACCAGTGAGAGCACTGAGGGAAGACAGGAAGTGACGTGGTGACCAGGACGGCACAGGACAGGGACCAGGGGTTCTGTGCACCGGGGAAGTTCTTTCCCTGATGCATGTGGGGAGAGGTACCGGCCTCTTTCGCAGACACTTATTTTCTTCTGCATAGGAGGGTGCAGGCGGGAGCAGGAGGTACAGGAAACCGAGAAAGTGCCCTGCACCCGAGGGAGACGGAGGAGGGAGCGCGACCCTGATGCGCCACAGGTGGGCAGGTTGAGCCCACTTCTGTCCGGGCTGTCAGCTTGGTGGCCGTGGGGCAACTCCTCCCTGCCCGGGGCGGCTGGCAGTGGACACGCAGGGGACAGGGTGGCTTTGTGAGGCAGGAGGATGGTCAAGAAGACCATGGTGATGACAGTGTGGGGTGTGGGCTGTTTGGTGAAGAAAGGGTGGGATTGAGGCAGGGAGAGAAAAGCCGCAGAGCAGGGCAGAGGCCCAGTGGGGCTCGGGGCTCACCCGCTCAGCGCTGGGGACGGGCAGGGTCACAGCTTGGGCTCCCTGGGGACGTCTGTGGAGTGAAACACCCAGCACCAGGGGAGGGTTTGAATATTGGGAAGGGGTGACACCAGGTGTGTTCACCTGCCCCCAAGGCAAAGGGCTGGGGAAGTGGAGGGACAGGAGGGGTTGAGACTGCCCAGATAGCCCTGCTTCAAAGCCAGCCATGGCGGCCTCACCCCCCGCACGCCCGCATCTGCCCACGGAGCCCGCGCCCTGACCAGCGCCTTTGCCCCGGGCTGCCCCACCTGCTGCCCGTCTCGTGTTGCCCACTCAGAGGCTCCCAAGAGTCCGCCCTGCCTGTGGAGCCTTCTGGGACACCTCCTGCCCCAGAGCCTGAGCCTCTGCACTCCCTCTGGCCTTGTCCCAACAGAGGCCCCAGGTCTCTGACAGTGCTGGGGCCCCGTGCCCAGCACTGCAGGCAAAGAGCTAAGGGTCCTGGAGTTTGTGGAAGGAATGGAAGCTCTGGATTTACCACCAACTGGCTCTGGGATCATGGGCCAGGGCAGGGCCCTTCCACGTGCCTCAGTTTACCATCCAGCCAAGGGGTCAGGCTGGGTGGCCTCCAGGGAGGGTGCCAGGAGGGCCACCCTGTGCAGGCATGAGGCTGACAGTTTTGGTGACAACTCCAGCAGTCAGCTGACCGAGGGCTCAGCTTGGTAGAGCTGGTTAGGCAGAAGGGACCCAGGAATCCCCCTCCCCTCAGAGACTGGAGAGTACCATCCTCCCCTGCCCAGTTGGTATGAGAACGGCCTCCTCCTCCCGGGTTGACAAGGCCTGGGCTGAGTCATGGGCCCAACTGGGAACATGACAGGGCCTCCCTGCAGGACAGTGGCTCTGGTCCAGACTCGGCGGGAGGTCGGGTGGGGTGCAGGAGGGGGAAGGGGCAGGCTCCACCTCCCAGAAGCAAGGACTTGCATTTGGGGTCAGGATTGGGAAGCCACAAGAGTTGGCCCGGGAACTGGCAGGTGCCTTCACCACCAGCTCAGCCTGACCTCTGGGAATCCTTCAGCAGGCAGAGTTCCCACCCTACCCTGAGCTTGGGGTCTACCCTGGTCCTTCCCGAGCTGAGGACACTTTGGCCTGGCCAGGATGAAGCTTACAGCACATGGGGAGGCCGTTCAGCCCCACCTGCCCCATGGCCTGGGGAGAAAGGCCAAGCTCATGGTGAGGGCTCAGGGAGACACCCGCTTAATGCCCTCATGTAAGGGGGAAGGAGTGGACAGCGAGGAGGGGGGGGCTGGAATGGCCACCTGGGTTCAGGGGCTCTAGAGAGCTCTGTGCCTCACCCCACCCCAAGGGCCCTGTGAGTGTGCGTGAGGGGGACTCAACCCCTAGGCTTTACCCATCTCTTGCCCAAACCAGCCTCTGGGGCCAGTCCCACCTGAGGGAGGTGGGGTGTAAATGAGGTGTCGAGGAGAGACAGCAGGGCAGGTATGGGGGGGAGACAGAGGAGGGTGGGAGCAGGGGAGTTGGGGTTGCCTTTGGAAGGCAGGGGGACAGGAGGACTGAGCCCCACGGAATCAGGAGGGCTAAGATCTAAGACCCAGGGTCTGCACAGGGCTCAGCAGGTTTCTTCCCAGGGTTCAGCCTCCCTCCCCAGGGCAAGAAGCCACCGTGGCCTCCCCTGCTCATCTCTTACACAGACCTGTCTCCATGGGACTTCCCTCCCCCACACTCCAGTGGTAGGGGGCAAACCTGGGAAAAGACGAGGTACAACTGTCCTCAGCCCTGCCCCAGCTCACCCAACTGCATGGCACAAGCATGTGGTGGCATCTGGGAAAGGGCTCCCAGAATGCCACCACCTACCTGGCGACCCCCTCCCCTGTCAGCCCAGCCTCTTCTGTCCCCAGCCCAGACGGGTAGTGCCCTCACTTCCCAACCCCATCCCCAGGAACAGTCACAGCCATCTCCACCTGGGGTGGGCTTTATTAACACTGCCATCGTGATGTGAGATGGGGAGACAGCACTCATTTCCAAGGACGACTGTCACAGGCTGACGGTGGAGTGGGGCGGGATCCTTGCAAACAAAACCTCCGGCCAAATGCTAAGCACCAACTGTCCTCTGGGGTCACCCTGGAGCCGCAGGTGGCTAGGCTGGCCCAAAGGACCCCACACAGCAAGCTCCATCCGAAACCCGTCTACACATGCCACTACTACACAATCCCACACAATTAGTGTCTTAAATACATATATGGATATATATTTCATCTGAACAGTGTCGTTAGAAAATTAAAATTGACCACGTCTCTTCACATTAACTTCACAGTAACTGTGTGCAGAAGACAATGAATCCAGTGTTGACAACCCAGGGCAGGCTTCCCCACCCCAGGAAAGTTCTTCTCCAGGAAGCCACTTGGGGAAAACCAGTGCCACGGCCACATCTCCCTGCTTGGGCGGTGGCGGTGGGGCGGCTGTTCTGCTGGGCTGCGGCTCAGCTTGGGCCCTGCCATGTGCCAGATACACATGCATGCACACACGCACAGGCATAAGAATCACCCATCATGGAGCACTTGACACTGAGCACAAAGTCCCATCAGCCCTTCCGGGGGTGGGGGTTGGGGCCAGAAGAATCGGGAGCAGGGCCCCCTGCCCCCAGCTCTCTAGAATGCTACAGACGTGCCAGGAGAGCCTGGGGTGAGCAGGGGATGGGTCTGTCACCCACTACGAAGACCAAAAGTCATTCATTCTAGGCCAGGTAGACAAATAAATACATCAAGTGTTGTCAGGAGACGGGAAAATAACTTAGACTTGGCTAGATTCTGTACTCAGTGCCACTTTCAATCACAGCAGAAATAGCCCAGGTGCTCTGGGGAAAACCAGGTGTGTGCCACCTGCGGGACTCCCAGAAGCTGGGACCACACCCTCAGCAAAACCCCCTTGCTGCAACCAGCGAGCTTCTGGCAGCAAGATTTGCCTGGTGAGTAGGTGGGTGAAGCAGGGTGACCCAAACCATCCACAAATGCGGAGGTCACGGTCATTCACCATTCACATTCTAGGGGCATCAGCTTCCCCAGGCTGCGGACAAAGGGGGGATGCTGCCAGTCTGGCCCCTCGGCCACCCACCTCCCTTCTTCATTCCATGGCTGCTATCACCACGTGGGGAAGGGAAGCCCTGCAGACATGGCTCCTGGTAAACAGGGCAGCCTTTGGCCCCCTGCTCAGTGCTCTGGAAACAACCACAGCTCTGGGGAGACCCGTAGCAGGCAAGCGAGTGACCTTCAGGGTCAGGCCCACCATAGCCCAGCAGTAGCCTGGGACACACTGTTAGTCTCAAGGTGGGGGCTACTGTTCCCAGCTCCCCCTCCCCTGCCACCAACCTGGGGACACTCAGAGGTGCCCTGGACCTGTAGCTTAGGCAGAGAAGAGGCCCAGACCATTGCCCACCAGCAGACATCTGGCAACCTCAGACCTTGGGGAGGCTCTTTCTACATCTCAAGAGAATCCATTTCCAAATTTTCACATTCTCTGCCCAAAGTTACAGTGCGGTCAGGATTGCAGGTTCTTGAGGACCCAGTCCCACCCTAATGATGATAACTCCAGAGCCACTCAGCTTCCAGCTGGCTCTACCCCCACTGCCCTGCAGTCCCCCCTGGGGCTGCACTCACCTATGACACCAGCTGGACCCAGATGGCCCCTGCTGTGTCCTGGGCCTTCCCAGCAGGGGTTCCTGCTGCCACCCACCAGGAGTGGCCTGTTTCCTCCAAGCGTCCCATTGGGGACTCACGCATCAACAGCTTTTCTGACCCATGAGTCATTCAGGTCATAAGGATGCCCCCGAGCATGCCAGAGAGGTGATCAGGGAAGTCCCAGGACGAAAGACAAATGTGCTGCCTCTCACCCAGAAGCCTGCGCTGAAGCGCAGGTGCCGGCTGGATGTGCCTTAGAACTTGGCTGGAGGGGATGGTAAGAGGAGATAGTGTCATGGACTGAGCTGGGCAAAACCTGGGGGCAGGAGTGAGTTGGAAGGTGGGGGGAGGGGGAGACAAGGCGGGAGGAAGGCTGCCCAGTCACCTGAGTCTGAGCCCACATTCCAGGAAGCAGCAGCATTTGGGTAGAGACGTCCAGCCTTGGAGCCTCCACCTGGCCCAGCTACACACTCCGTCCCAGTGTCACACCTGGGTGAGCCCTGCCCCTTCCCTTGCACCCCACTACAGGGACACATCACACCAGCAGGGACTTGACCAGGCCACAGTGGAACTTGCGGACGTGGCGGTACAGGTCCCCCGACTGCGTGAAACGGCGCTCGCACCAGCGGCAGGCATGAGGCTTCTCTCGAGTGTGCACCACGGCATGCCGACTCAGGTTGTGGGAGTACTGGAAGCCCTTGCCACACTGCACACATGTGTAGGGCTTCTCCCCTGAGTGTGTCCGCTCATGCCTCTTCAGTGTGTATGTGCACGAGAAGGTCTTCCTGCAGAGTGGGCACGTGGGCACGGCACCGTCGGGGGAGAGCCGGGCCTGGGAGCAGTCCCGCTCGCGGAAGTGGGCACTGAGGTGCAGCTGCAGCCCGTGGACACTGGGGAACAGCTTGCTGCACAGTGGGCAGATGCAGAGGTGCCCGCCGGGCCTCAGTGCGTCCCGGACCACCACCCGCTCTGCGTCCAGCTCTGGCTCCTGGCTGCCTGCCCTGCTGATGGACAATGGCTCCAAGCCCACTGCCAGACCCTTGACCGCAGGAACACTGGGTGGCTTTGGGGGACTATGGGGGCTCCTAGAGGCTCTGCTATTGTCCTGTTCAGATGGTGAATCCTGCTCGTCCTTCACCAAAGGCTGGGCCCTCTGGTACGTCTGGCCACAGAGGGGTGTCGGGAGGATGCAGGGTGGGTGGCCATGCTCCTGCCTCGGGCCAGGCTTCAGTGACAGGTCCAGGGCCCGGTCTGACTCTCCTGGGGCCTGCCAGGAAGGAGGCCCGAATGCTTGCAGAGGGAGGGCAGTCTTGACCCCAACCCGGGGGAGCCTGGCCTTCTGGTGGGCAGCTGGGCAGACGTCAGGGGTCCAGGCAGGCAGGGGGCACGGTGGCTGGCCGGGCGGCTCTGCTCCTGGGGTGGGGGTCTCTGGGTCCAGCTCTCGGTCCTTGTCCCTGAGCCTGCCCTTGCAGACCTTGACGATGTCATACATGTGCAGGTAGCTGGCGGCGGCCAGGACGTCCTCCACGGGCAGGCTGCGCAGGTCCAGGCGGCCCTGGTACATGAAGTCCAGAAGACGCCCGAAGGCGGGCGCCGTGACGATGTCGCCGTTGAGCCGCACCGTGTCGCGGCTGCCCGCAGGCCGGTCCCTGTAGAAGAGATGGAAGTAGACGCTGCACGCGGCCAGCACGGCGCGGTGGGCCGGGAAGCGCGCGTCGCCCACCAGCACGGTGCAGTCGCACAGGAAGCCCAGCTCGCGCTGCTGCCTCAGGCGGCCCAGCAGCCTCCCGCCGTGCTCCGGGAACTCCATGCCGCCGCCGTCATCACCTGGGCACAAACGGGACGCCCGTCAGCGCGCCCGGAGACG